ATGCGTGCTCAGCCAGTCCGAGGTGACATTGTCTTGGAACCTCAGAGACTCGTGAATTACAGAACGGAGAACCGATTTGGTTTTCAGTTTCTTCCCAGATACACGGGCCCTGGTCATACAAGCGTGTAATGGCCTCTCGAGTGTTCCTCAATAAGACTCTACAGCCAGATCAGCACTTTTTAAATTGGAAGATAAAACAAACCATTAAGCCTAATAGTTTACTCACACGTAGGGGAACGACATAGTTAATAACAATTTTTCAAAATCTTTCTTCATATTCATGACATTTTCAACACGTAGCCTTTTTCTGTTACCAAAGTTATTCACTGGCTCAAGCCACTTCCCCTCCTGGGCACTGCCGAAGGGGCCGTTGTCCAAGGCACCGGCCCCCAATACTGCCCCAAAATGGCTGCCATCCTAAGAATAGCATGGGTTAAATGCACGGCCTATATGTCACTGTGAATGGTGCTGTGTACACATGTAACGATTGGCATTGTCAGACTATGTTATGTGCAGCAAACTGGTGCTTTTTGCGTTGAGAGTACAAGATAGTTATATTTTGCAAAGGTGAAAACAGAAGCAACAAATAATGCAGTGCCTGTCCTCTTTGGCCTTTTGTATTGGAGGTCAGAGCCATTCTTCATTAACAGGGCTCTGGTGTATCACTGCTGATCATGTAACATCTTTAGTAAGACACTATATTGAGTTGTGGTTCACAGTGGGGTGACACCTATTTGACCTGATATAGCAGCTAGAAAAGTAAATTCAATTTGGTCAAAAACTTGACATCCTGACCACATCTGGGCAAATACTGCAAAGTTATGCATTTTGGCACCATGACTTGGCTTGTACTGCAAAATCTTAACTGACAGAGCACAATATTTCAAACTCAAAAGTGCTCTCGTAGCATTACTGGTCGAAGTTTGGCTCAACGGAAGTTTTGTTCTTGTACTATGTTCGGAGGTTATAAACGGTCTATTATTTTAGCTAGATGAGTTTGTTGTATAGAGATTGATATACTCCCACCCACAAGCTGCTGAGTCCATTTCATACTGAAAGGAGAATCAGCTACCTGAAGGGTGCACATTGCCACAATGCAACTCTACAGTAAAGTTTATGAGGATAATATTTGTCATTCTTTATAATGTTTCAGAGGCAAAATGGAGGCATCAGGACAGGCTCTAAACATTCACATAATATTCAAACATAAGGTTTACACAGTTAATGCATGAGCCAATAGTAACCATCTAGCAGACATGGAAGAATAGCATTTATGAAGAATAAGCTCAATATTCACTCTACTTTTAGCTCTGTTTTGGTCAACTTCTGTGGGAAATAAGTGGCTCTTTTTCTGCTCAAATGCTAGACGTGAACTTTGTGTGTCTGCTGTTAGAAAACAAGTTGCTTTTGTTTCATGAAATGACACAGATGAGAGAAGTGAAAGTGAACAAAAGTGAAGTGGTCCATTTGACCAAAACAGTGTGCTAGCTGAACCACAAATGATTCATTCCCCCCATTTGATCCCTATAGAAATATTGATTAATGCAGCTTTATGCTTCATTTTTAGGGTAATTTCCAATTCGATTTGATGTCGCACTAAAAACTGCAACCTTGAAACACATCAAAGAATTGCACTAAAAGAGCAGTGTGTAGAGTTTAGTGGCATTAAGTGGTTTAGTTGATGAATACTGAATACCCCCCCACCCTTATCTTTTCTGGCGTGACAGAGAACCTACAATTGGCCTTAAGGTCTCCATTGACTATTCTTCTTTTATTTAAATAAAAGAAAATTCCCTGATTATTTTTGTATTAACATATCTCAACAGCGTTTTAACCATATACAGTATACAGCCTATGGTTTTAACACTTGGTATATGATTAGAAGCAAAGTGTGAAAAAGGGAAGTGATGAATCATGTGATTTCAACGTCCACTAAATCTTCGGTTTCCCCTGAAGAAAAATAACATGGCAACTCAAATTAAAACTTCTCCTCATAGCTCCACACAGGTCTGATGTAACCTTCCTCACACTGTGAAATCACAGAAAAGTCATATTTCCATCATGTTTTTACATTGTTTTTTCACCGCATGAGGTTTGACTGTTGTGATCCTGTTGTGCTCCCTAGTTACATAACAAGGGTTCATTCAGGTAACAAAAACACACTACCTAATTTCAGGTGATTATATGCTAAAGAAAATTATATTACATTATTACATTGCATGTCTGGCAATAAATCCCTCAATGACAATGGTCTATTAACATCTCTCTTAGTGTCAATATAAACTACACACTACAATATCTATATAAACCATTAGCTGAATGAGGCCACTTTGATTAAAATATCACCCTGGATTGGTAGTTTAAGAGACTTTGCCTGCCCCAGTGTATCCTGGGGGCACAGTGCCCTGTCACCGTGCTGCAACACAGCTCATTACAGCCATACTTTGGCCAGATCCTATATTTTCTTAACCCTGACATTTACCCTCGTTTTGCAATTTGCGGACGGCATTGAGGTTTAATCAGGCGTGATTTAGAGGACAAGCTGCATGAGGGTCTGTATTGTGGAGTTTGTTAAACTGTCCTCTCTGCTTTCTCTGCCTTTGTGACTTCTCTGAGTGGGTGGATATGAGTGTGATGGAGCCAGAAGCTGCAGTGGCTGCCACGGGCACAGAGAGGCACGGCAGAAACTATCCCTGGGAATAAATAACCCTGAATATTATATCTGCAGAACAAAACCATGACCTAACTTGTTTCCGCACTAAACCCCAACAAAGTTAAAAGTCTCAGATCAAACAGACATCACTAAGTACACTTGATTCTCAGACAAGTAATTCCTGTGCAAGCACTTACAATTTGACAAAGTATTCTCCAACATGTCATCATAGCATCTTACCAGCAGACCTCCAGGTCCCCAAACGGCTACAGATGGCTCTCCTAATTGGCAGTTATCAATCAGCCTTAGGGTCATAAATAGCTTTCCTATAAATAGAAATGTGGTTTACAGACCAGACTCTCTTGCCCTCTTTAGTCAGAATGCAAACAGTAAAGTTGTGTGTGAAAATGTAGGGCAGGAAAACAGCACCAAGAGTTGGAGGCTGACAAAAACAAACTCTTGTATCCAACATTTCAACAGCAAGAGAGTCTACGCTGTGAGGCTGCATTTTGACCGAGATGCTATGCCCAACATGCTCTCAAATTTCTAACCTGTCAATGTTTATCCATGAATGTCTAGGGACTGGATACCGGACTTGGAGATGGAACCCACTGACTTGTTGCAAAGAAGCAGAGGATGAATGTCAAGTTATGTGGAAGTGTTTAGACCAAAACCGCATCACCTCCTGAAATTGTTAAACAACACACTAAGTGCGGTACCAATTCAACCTAAGGTGGTCAAACTCTTGGTAAACAAGCTTTACCGGCCAGGGCTCCACATTCTTCAAAGACAAATTGTGAAGGGAAGGCACAAGGGGAGCAATGTGCCATAGCTGATTAAAAGCCTCTGCCATCACAAAGTCAGAAGAGTTTGGGAGGAGTGTCTAGAGTGTGCAGGGGGATACCAGTCGGATTAAGAGTTAGGGAGCGGGGAGACCCCAAAATCCCTTTCATATCAGCAGCCCTGAAGCATGCAGAAAGAGAAACACATGAGCCGGAGGGTTGTAGATCAAAGCAAGATGGAAATCTAGAGAGAAATCCATACAATCATTTGAAAAAAAAAAATGCTGTAGAGAGACATCACCCTGTTATCCCTTTCCCTCCAAGCAGCTGAGTCAGTTTATGTGATCTTGCTTGTCTGTAGGAAGAGTGTGTGCATGCTGCATGATAACTGGAGCACAAAGGATTTCAACCTGCCACGGACACGTGTGCAATAAACAGCTGCTGTGGTTTCCTTCTATGGGTGAGCTGAGTACATGGGCTGCCTGAAAGAGCTCTGCATTTGTTTATCTGAGCGCAGGAGGTGGTTAGCCATGACAGGTCTATACAGTTCTGACAGGTTTCCTGCTCCTGTGGATCAAATTCTCCCTGTGCGTCCATGCAGAGCCATTAGTTTTCCTTATCGCTCTACTTGCCACAGTTCTCAATTAATAGGAGACAGCAAAGTTATCACTATGTAGTCTGTGTGTGTGTGTGTGTGTGTGTGTGTGTGTGTGTGTGTGTGTGTGTGTGTGTGTGTGTGTGTGTGTGTGTGTGTGTGTGTGTGTGTGTGTGTGTGTGTGTGTGTGTGTGTGTGTGTGTGTGTTTGTGTGTTTAGGGCAAGGTCAGAGATAGACAGCAGCTGTCAGCTTAAATGATACCTGGAGTGTCTTCATTTGCTTGTTCACCCGTTCACACTCACTCACCCACTGTCGCTCCTACAGCTCTCAGTGAGGGGGCAGAGGAATTATTGGGTGTTGGGGCCATCAGGCATGCAGTGCAGCAGTTGGCCCTCGGGGTGCCCTGCAAGGGACACTTGCTCTTTTCTGACCTATCGCATGAGCAAATGTTAAATGAGGGGGAGCAGAAGGGGCTTCTCATTGACATTCCTGTTGGTTTGAATGGAAATGTGGCAACAAAAAAAAGAGACTGCACCCATGGGTGCTGTCCTATAGCCAGGGATGAGTGTGCTGTTCCTGGCAGGCGAGTAAGATGTCGCCCCCGTTGCCAGAGTCCCTCACAGCCAAAATGTAACACATGACTGGAAAAAAACTAAAATGTTAATCTGTTATTCTGTATGTAAGCCAGTGGAAAGAAAGCAGCCAATGATGGCAGCTCCACTGATTTTGATATGACAGTAATTATAGGATTATTTAACAAACAGAAGCCACAATAACAATGATGTCAAATCTTGAACTTGTTAGTCTTGAATGTGGTTTCATCTGGGCATTAGTTCCCACATTTTTATATCAGCTACTCAGACTTCCTACTTAATAGTAACTTAATTGTAGTATTTAGAGGACACCATGGCTGAAACCAAACGGACGCAAATGTCAGGGAAACCACCAGTGAATGCAATGATCACCCACCTATAGTCGACACCACAGTTCCAACAAAATAAAATGCTCCTGTAAAATCCCATCGTGGCCTCAGAGCGTCAGCCCGGATCCCGGTGGCGATGGCAGCCTCGTACTCCCGCAGGAAGGAGTTGAGCTCCTGCAGGCTGATGTTGAAGGTCTCACTGAAGTTGAGGAGCGTCCCGTGCCAGCGGCCGTGAGCCCGCAGCTCCGAGGGCCTCTCGATGGCCGAGAAGACCGCAGCGCCGCACAGCAGGTACAGTACGATGAGGACGGCGAGCAGCACGAAGCGGCCGTTGTCCTCGTTGAGGTGCAGGGAGCGGCAGCCTTGCAATCGCTGGCCAGACATCATCCAAATTTCAGCACCAAGCGCGCGTCGGACAGCGACAAGCTCCACATCGGAGACGGCATTCACTCGTCTGCAGGTGTCCTCTGGAAGTCACTGCCCTGCACTCTCGCTGCACTTCCATAGGCAACATTTCCTCTACTTAGCCCACCACGTTGTCCCATTGTAGTTGTAAAATGTTTGTATCTGTAACTAGAAGGCAGAAAAACGCTCCACTTGTGGATGAAAGTCTGTTGTTCCACGAAAGAGTTCATCAGAAAAGACGCCGGCGCATTGTTTCATAATAGGTACATTTGTATCTTACTCTTCAGGCAATGCAGTTGGTTGTGAAGTGGACTGCAGCTTGAATCCAAAAGGACGCGCCGATCGCTTGTTTGTACAAATGCAAGCAGCAGTAGTATCCTCTCTGTCCCTTGCACCAAAATGTTCCACCGCAAAAGAGACCACGATGAAGCCCGGATTTCTGCAAGTTACAGATGAATGTGCCGCAGGAAAAGCCCGTCCCCGCGCTCAGATAAAGTCATCTATCCTCAGGCTGGAGAAGTGTGGAGCTGCAGCTTTCATGTGGCCGTTATAGTGACACATTGCATCCTATCAGCGCACGGTGAGATCACTCTTGGCTACAAATCGGAGACTACAGCATGCCACCGCTACTGGAGAAGGAGAGTAGATTAAATGAGACGATTGAGGGTGTGCAGATGGCTCCAAGGAAGGGGTGTCTCCGTATTCCTCAAATAACAGAGGGCTTACATTTCCACTTGAGTGCAGCCTTGTGCCATGCGCACTGAGGATACTCCACAAATTGAAAACTGTTACTCACTTTCTGCACCGTGGGCACAATTGTAGAAACAATACACTCCTGAACAATGCTTCTTAGCAAAGTGTCTAACAGCTTTAACACAGAGCCAAGGAAAAATCCTGTATTCACAATCAGAAAATTATAAAAAAGTATACTCCTCATGCAGAAAAAATGTATTCTGATGGAATTATTTCTTAATGGATCATATGCTATTATACACTTGTAATAAGTACTGTTTCTGGTGCAGCTATCAGCATTTTATATATAAGTGGATCAAACTTAATAAAAAATGTATCATATGTAGGTTTTTTTTTCATCGATTTCATGATTCATTTCTCATTTAATCAATTACCTGTTGGTCTGGTCGGACAATAACAGGTGCCTGCAATCCAAAAATGGCTTTGTATATAATTTATAGCTTCTGCAAATGATAGCAAAGGTACAATTGTATTGATCTCCTAAAAAGCAAATCAAATGATCATCAAAATAGCTGCCCATTTGTTTTCGTTCAACTGCATAACTGAATAATCAACTAACACAATTTGACATTTATTATATTTTAATCTACATTGTAAATATATACCTGTCAAAGAAGTGGATGAATATTTATCTCTAAATTAAGCAAAGGCATAGAGTAGAACATGGATGGAAATCTAAATAGTAATACAGTAAAGACAATCATACTTACTATCAATATACCAGAACATAATTGCATATCATAAACACTTTCATGTGTGTGTCAGTGCCTTTTATTCCAAATTCATTAAGGAAATGGTTGGAGACAGACATGATCTCACCTTGTTGTCATTGTTTCACTTGATTAAACCAATCATGACCATCTTTCCATGGCATTAAGACCAAACAAAGGACTTACCGTGGCGGAGAGTTTTGCCTTACAGTCATAGTAGTCAGGATGTGTGCCTGCACACAATAACAAAAAGTGACTTTCTGCATTTACTGCAGGTCAAGAAATTGTATTGACAGTTTCCAGTACTATGAGGGCATGGTTGAGTGACTCGAGTGTCTTGTGTGCAATTACCGTTCAGGGGAAAAAACAACAATACACCTTTGATTGTTGGACACGCAGTAGAGATTCCAACAAATCAATGACAACCTGGAGCTGCTGATCCATGAAAATACAATTAAACATTGAATGGTGCTTTAAAAAGACACGTTATCCAACCCAAATGGAAGCAGGGGTTCTCTGGCACATATAAACGGTCACTATGGAGCCCAAAATGGGATGTTTCGCTGATATAAAATACACTTTTAACACATTTACAGAAATGCCAGAACAAATTTGTCTCATACAAAGGAGAGACACAACAAGAGCCCATAGGGTGGTTTTTAACAACATTGCTCAGACAGACAGCAGTTATTTTTTTCTAACAAGAAGACAGTAGCAGGGCTGCACAAAGTGGCAGTATTGATTATGCTTTCTAATTTGGCTAATTGGCTTACAAATATGCAAAACAAGGGCATGCTCAGCAGCACAAAGGCTGTCCTTGTCAATACTAATCATTACCTAAAAACGGAAGAAAGCACATAAAGGAGACTGGGATCTAATACAAGACATCAATGGAGACTTGTCTGCCATTGACAGGAGGCTTATGCATTAACTGTATACTTGCGCTGTTTGTGTTTGAAAATAAGCATTTACACGAGACTTACAGAAAAACACAAAGACAATCATGAGGAAAACACTGATAATAGCATACTGGAAATAAAATAATCCCTTTTACACTCATTTATATTCTCCACCCACACATTTTTTCTCAGGGCCGTTGGGGGCGGCAGACTATCCCAGCATGCACTGTGTTAAAGGCAGGGAAGTCATTACAGGCTTTCAGATGCTCATTCATACCTCCGGGCAATTGAGAGTCTACAGTTCACCTGAATGTGGGAGGAAAGCAAAGACTAAAGCCTGGTCCATATGTTGTCAGGAAACAATCATATGAATCACTGATGCACTATACAGCATTTTTAAACATATCACAAATTAGTTTATTCATTAACCTCCACTATTTCATAAACAATACCAAATACTCACTTTATAATAGCACTTTAACAGTGTGTTAAATTCCTTTAACAGCTGTTTATATATTTTTATGATGAATGACTTAAATGTATTGACCATATTGACAAACACTAACATTGTCAATGCATGTGTACAATATGGTGTCATAACCTTTTTGTTGGTTGTTTTGCTGTTGATTTACTTCTTACACATGCTAAAGTCGTGCTAAATAGTTGAAAGGGAAAAGTGCCTCCAGAGTAAAACCATTTATATGTCTACAATTAGTTACTCAATGAGCCAAGTTGTCAATATTAAAAGTTTGTAATGGATGTATTCACTTTCAAATCGTACAATTCCTAGATGCATCATTATTCGTCCGAGGGCAAGATTCAAAATATCCATAAACCGTAGAGAACTGTTCTCTATACTGCAATTTGATGATTATGAGGCTTAAGTGAAGATAAGTATTTGACGTTTACTGTACAACAGCACCTGTAGCCACGTGGAAGTGTGATGTAACTGAGCACAAGCAGAGAGGAGTCATACAGGTCAGAAACTGACTCAATAATGCCTGTTGTACAGCAATATCTACCTAAAGTTTGACAACATTTGCCAACAGATATGACACTAAAAGGAAAACTGAATTCTGATTAATACATTTTTTTTTCCCCCTAAAATTTGCATGGTTTATCTTTAAAGCAGTTTCAGCTTTGCATGTCTACTTGTCAGAAAACCTATGAGGCTTGTTAGTGCGTTTACATATTATTTATATTAAATGAGATGTTAAAAGGGGATAAAGGACCAACACCACATGGGAGCTTGCACACAGTAATGGACACAAAAAGGCAAGGCTTTACCCTTTCCAAAAACTTAATTTCACATGCACAATGACACAGGTTTGTTAGGTGAAGGACTGATACATTTCAAAATATAAATACAATTTTATTACATTTAACAAAAAGAGGAACATTCAGGAAATGTTGCTGCAAGATAAAAAGTGTTGGTTAGAATGACAGAATGGGTTTAAAATATCTACTTAAAATGTAATTCTAAAAGATTGTACTGAAAAAGAAACAAAACGAAAGTGGGCCGAGGCCAGTCAATGGGGTGGCAGGCTACTGTTAGTGAAACTAGGCTGCTACCATACTCAGCAGGTGCAGTCACAGCAAACCGGTAACTTGTGCATGTGCCCACTGCTCTTCTGATGAAATGGAGGAAGCTGGTGATGCTGGGGGTCCGGTTAAGGACTGGGTCAATCATTTCTTACATTCCAAAAACCTTGTAGTATTCAGCCCTGAAGTTTCAGACCCCTGATTTTATCAGATCAAATATGTCTGGGCCCACCTTAGTATCTGATGTATCAGTCAATATGAGCCCATCTTTAGTTAGAAGGTGAGCCTGTAGACTACATTTGTCTGTTACAGAAATAAAATATAAATGACAATAAGCTACCATATTGACCATGTAATTTAGACTTTTAGATTGTCCTTTTTGAGTAAATTGCATTTACAATTTGATGTAGATACAGTACCTTCTTGAAGAAACTGCAGAAAATCTAAGTTTCATCACTTTTGGGAACTTTTAAGTTTAATGAGGTAACTTTGTGCAAAATGTATGTAATTTAATAATCAATGACACAATATCACGTAACTTAGATAACGTGTCTTACCACAAGAAATGCCAGGAGAAGATATAAATTAATCTGCTGTTTTCAAAGGGAACCTTAAACACAGAAAATGAATTAAAAAACACTATTCACTTTAGAAAACATTATCGCTTTAACATATAGTAAACAAGTATCTTCTGGGTGTGACCCTAGATAACAACCTGTCCTTCACTGCAAACATCACTGCTACAACCCGCTGCTGCAGATACACGCTTTACAACATCAGGAGGATGCGTCCCCAGCTGACACAGAAAGCCACGCAGGTTCTGGCCCAGGCTCTCGCCATCTCACGCCTAGACTACTGCAACTCCCTCCTGGCTGGTCTACCTGCATGTGCCATCCGACCTCTGCAGCTCATCCAGAATGCAGCGGCTCGCCTGGTCTTCAACCTTCCTAAATTCTCCCACACCACGCCGCTCCTCCGCTCCCTTCACTGGCTTCCGGTAACTGCTAGAATCCACTTCAAGACAATGGTACTTGCGTACCATGCTGCGAATGGATCTGGCCCTTCCTACATCCAGGACATGGTTAAACCGTACACCCCAGCATGTGCACTCCGCTCTGCATCAGCCAAACGGCTCGCTGCACCCTCGCTGCGAAGGGGACCCAAGTTCCCATCAGCAAAAACACGTGGGTTTGCTATCCTGGCTCCAAAATGGTGGAATGAGCTCCCCATTGAAATCAGGACAGCAGAAAGCTTACACACCTTCCGGCGCAGACTGAAAACTCATCTCTTTCGACTCCACTTTTAACTATTAACAAAGCACTTATATAAAGGGCTGGCTTATCTAAAGCCAGTTGAGTAGCACTTGAAATGTTTTTGCTCTATGAAACCTGGGGGGTATACTACGAAGCAGGATTTTCGCTAAATTATGGGGAAACTCCGGCTTTCCGGTCCTACGAAGCTGGTTCTCTTTTTAGCAGGCTAGATCTCCATGGTAACTTATGCTTAGCGGCTAACCTGGTCGGGACCAGGTTAGGTTGCAGGCTAAGAGCTCAACTCAGTGAAAACACCGCCTGCTGACCAATCAGAGCTCAGTGTGCGGAGTTTAAAGCGATCAAGTCATATTACAGGAGAAAGGAAATATAGAAAAACTGCCATTGCAGGAAAGACGGCCGGCAAAAATCACCGACTGTGTGAACGTGAAAATGAAT